AAAATGTTATGACACCCATATGGAATTTCTTGAATCTTCATAATCCCTTCTCTATTGTAAAAAACGTATAAACTTGTATAAACACCCACACTGATTCACTGGCACAATATACAGTAATACAATATATAAATCTAAGTAAATCATGCACAACACAATTTTTTAAAACTGAAATGATCTGTCAGCAATTTGTTGTCTGACCACAGTCTCCCTTGCACATATGGAATATGGATGAAATACACTGGCCCACCAACCGCGTCTGTCAGCACAACTCTTCCTCTTTGGTTTCCACATTCCCTTCTTTTTCCTCCTCATTTGTGACACTGTCTTTCCCACTTCCTGCACTGTAAATAAAACGATAGTAGAACAGCATGTATCCATATGACTGCTACATCATAATATTTGCATGGTTACTTTTTCGCTATGCCAATGACAATAAAGCTGACATAAACTCAAAAAGAAAGATTTATAATAAATAGATATTTTCATGTCAAAACCGCATCTACTGTATTTGCATTGAGTAAAATGATTTTATTTTGATGGGTATGGGTCACAAGAGAGTAATGTCAAAAGTAATGTCAAACCTTTCATTAAAACTAGGTTAAATACGTTAAAGGGTTAGTTCACCCAAAAATGAAAATTAGCGGTCAAAGTCCAGACTTAAATCCGATTGAGATGCTGTGGCATGACCTTAAACAGTCCATTCATGCTCAAAAACCCTCCAATGTGGCTGAATGAAAACAATTCTGCAAAGAAGAGTGGGCCAAAATTCCTGTGAAAGACTCATTGCCATTTGCGATAGCAAACGCTTGATTGCAGTTGTTGCTGCAAAGGGTGGCACAACCAGTTATTAGATTTAGGGGGCAATTACTTTTTCACGTAGTGCCAGGCAGGTTTGGACAGCTTTTTTCCCTTAATAAATGAAATCATAATTTCAAAACTGCAGTTTGTTTTTACTCAGGTTATCTTTGTGTAATATTAAAATTAGTGTGATGATCTGAATCTTTTAAGTGTGACAAATATGCAAACAATTAAAAAAACAGGAAGGGGGCAAAAACTTTTTCACACCACTGTAACTCCGACTGGATTCGTCTGAAAGAAGAAAGTCATATACACCTAGGATGCATCGGGGGTGAGTGAAACGCAGCCTAATTTTCATTTTTGACTGAACTAACCCTTTAACACACTGTTAAATCTTTGCATTGAACAGATTTGTTCCGCTCTGTGATAATCAACACATATTCACTGCAAACAAAATGTGCACATTAATTTTAAACCCCATCATTCATGCGTCTCCATACCTCTTCTGGGTTTCTGCTTTCAGTGCTGTCATGATCCTCATCCGCAGACTCATTGTCCACATGGATGGCCTTATTTGTTTCTCCCTTTGATCTCACAAAATGTTCGTCCAGACCTGCTTGTTCCAAAGTATTCCTGTATCTGCGTTCAGCATTATTCTTGGCATTTTTCTGAAAGCATTAGGTATATGCATATGGTAAAATATGAAAGTTACATTATTTGGAAGAAGAATGGATTTTGAATATTAAGTAGTGTACCTGCGACACCTGCTCAAACAGGTACGGGCGAGATGTTACTCTGGTTTTGATTTCCTTCAGCTCTTTTTGATAATCTTTCATCCTCTCCAGATCAGCTTGCCTACATTCACAACAACTCATAATCAGTTATTGCATTCCTGGCTTGTCCGCAGACATTTTTTTCTTCAAAGTGCTCACCGGTTCTGTTTAAGTTTCTCCTGGTAGACCTCTTTAAGACTTTTATGAGGGTCCATTGCCTTGGCTCTCATTGCTACTGCCCTGCTCATAGCTTGAGACTTGATTCTGTGCTGCTTCATCCACTTTGCATTCTCCTGCTCCTTAAGGTCCTTCAGCTCCAGAGATCTCCTGTTCACAAAAGAACAGTCATATAACAAGCCCAAATATGTTGCATGCATGGTACAAAATAGATATAATAGATAAATACAAAAGACACAAAAGAAAATAACTAAAGTGAATGCATTTTATTTCTGTAATATGACATATTTCTGAATATATTACAATTTTTTCCCCAAATCTATTTCACATTATTTTCTATTGCTTTAAATTATGTATTTTATAATTGTTTATTGCTTTATTAAAATAACCATACAACTCTAATACAGTTTTATTTAATTTAATTTGTGTTTAAGTATTGAAAAGATGTTTGAAAGTGCATTTTAAAATTGTGGAACCAACAATACTAGCCTAAAACAATGCTTAATTTGCTATTTGCATTAACCAATAGCCTGTGCAGCCAACAGGATTTAATGAAAAATTACAAATAACAGTGAAGTCAAGAATTGTGCAAAAAAAAAAAAAGTAGGATTAGGGATGTTGAATATGGTCATGCAGAATATGTGCTTTAAACAGCCGATATGTTAATAATAATAATTGGTCCCTAATAAAGTGTTACCAAAAGAACATATGATTACTTTTATTGGTTTTAATGATTTTAGTCACTGACAATTTTATAATTATAAAAATGTAAGAAGCGTCAGGCTCACCTTACAGCCATGGATCTTTTCCTGGCAGCATCTGTTATGTAAGTTGGAAGAGTGTCCATAGACAGTGATGTCAGGCCACCAAATGAACTGCTTCTCTTTAGATTCGTCTTGTCTCTAGATTTCTAGTCAAGAATAATTGCATATTAAACAAAACACATTCCTCATAGGAATTGCATTAAATGAATCTAAACTAAATAATCAAGATAGCAACCTGTGGGTTTTCTGGGCTCCTGTGGCGCGGCTGTAGCGTGGATGTGCGCAGCTGGAAAGGTTTACAGTGAGTGACATCTCTCCTCTCTGCTGCCTCCATTGCCTTTTGATGAAAGGCCTGGTAAAGCTTGTCAAAGTCAGGCATGGCAGCGTTAGTTTTAGGTCTGAAGGACAGCTGCTGGTCCAAGTAACCCAGCATCTTGCTTTTGCTCTTCTGAGCACTGCGGGTCTGTCTATCTGCACTGGGTTCCTGCCTTTGAATGGGTGCTGAGGAGGCTTTCAGAGTCTCCTGAGCTCGCAGATGAATGTGAATCTTCCTTCGCTGCTCCTGCGCTGAACCAGCGTCACATAAATACAGGTTTAGAAGCTGAGTAAATGATGATGTGTTAAATATTCAAATGAAACTTACATTTTAATTTTTGTGTGAACTTTTTCTTTAAATATGTTACATATGAAGAGTTTCAAAAGTGCCATTTGAAATGTTCTTCTAAAATTAGCATTTTTTTTCTCAGACTCCTATGCTTATGTTCAGTTATTTCACTTTGATGGCAATGAAAAGAATCTATAATTGCCATTAAAGTGAAATTACTGAACCTACACATACAGTAGGTGCCTGATAAAAATGTCAATTTTATAAGAAAATTTTAAATGGCACTTAGAGGCTTTTGCATCTGAACTCTTCATGTTGTGTTTAGTACATACAAGAGCGTATATAATAATATGATTTTGATAAATATTCAAATAAATGGCACCTTTCAGTTGTTCAGAGAAGCTGGGCTCTGAGACCGCTTTCGATATAGGTTTTCTCACACAAACTGGTTCTCTTTTTTCACTTTTATTGGCAGAGGCCATCTCCTCCTTCAGCCTCTCTCGCTTCTTCTCCTCCCTCTTGTGGAACCTGAAGGGCTTCTGCATGGTCAAGAGGAAATCTCTCCTCTGCTCACGACCTTCCTTCCTCAAGCGCTCTTGCTCATTGATGAGGTCATCATAAAGAGGCTTTGAGACATGCTCGGGGACGGGAGCGACACAAAACTGTTTCTGACACTCAGCCAGGTCTGCCTCCTCTTTGGCTTTCTGTGAATCCTGAGGGAGAGGCTTCCTCTGTCTCTCTGTCACTGTTCCCAAAGAATTAGTTCCAGTAGTTCTTGGTGCCTCGACTCCATTTGAGGTCAAATTCTGCAGAATCACCTTTGAACTGAGGACAAGATTGGAAGACGTATGTTTCAGTACAAGATATATGAGAACATCATTATCAAATTTAAGATTTGAATTACCTGTGGTGTTTGCGGTTCTCAGAGTTTCGCCTATCATGATCGCTGATGCTCTGCTGGGGTATTTTGGCTTTAAGTATCCATTCGGTGCTGGAAGTGAGCAGGGAGTTCTGCAGGACCCTCTTCTCCAGGCCATTCTGGTGCCGGAGCTCTAATTTCTCCAGCTGCTGCTTGCGTTTGGCCTTCAGAGCCTCCAAATGCAACTCAAGAGATAGTTCAGACTTATCTCTATCCTCATTACAGGCCAGCAGGCTTTCCGAAACGTGCACATTGTTTCCCTCTTCAGATCTAGAGAAATCAAAAGTGGGAGAGATCTGCACAGAAAACCTGTCTTTAGTTTGTTTGTTGGATTAATGAATTGTTTTACTTTTGAAATAAGAAAGGAGCTGAAAGAACAGCCACCAAATTAAAATTAAAATGTTGTAATTAAAAACACTATTTATAATTTATTATGACATGCTATGTAAGTGAAACTACTGTAAACAATATTTTGGGAGTCTAACGTTACATTAAATATTTGTACTGCATTAAATATTGTTATTGGACTGGCTGAACAACGTCCCATAGGCAGCACTGTTTTCCATGAATGCAAGAACTAGCATAAAATAATAATCAGAACGATTATATATATATATGATAGAAAATAACATTGCTATCAAAATATTGATGTTGTCTGTTGTTGCTTTTTCTGAGCTGTGTTGAACGTCAACAGCGTAAATGTTGTTACTATGGCAACCCCAAACGCGCATAGTTAAGCTCTGTTTTCGTTGTTCGCCTTCGCCAAAAGCGATTCAAAATTAACAGTATAAACAATACCAAAAGCAGATGAATCAGTGTTCAATCGATAAATACACTGGAAAACAACATCAGACATGTGTTTCCATTTGAACTCAAACTCTGGTACTCCATACCCTCTTCCGCCATTATTGATTTTTTCTCACCATTGTCATCTGATCCATGGTGTGATCAGGCCCGCTATGAGGACATCATTCAAACACTCTTCCATTAACTCTGAAAGAGCAAGACACTCTCCATTTCCCTGGAAGCGGCAGATATCATGATCTCTGCAGCAGTGACAGTCTCCACCCACCGGCGCCTGAGCACGAACACTGAATCCTGCGTTTATCACAGTAACGTTATGTCTTCCAGGAATACTAGGTACAACACAGCATCTGTTTCTCAGCAAACACTGTATGCAGCAACAAAACACGGATACATGTTCATGTTTAAAGAAACTAAAGGCACTTGACTTTGTCCTCCACGACAGCAGATGGTGCTAAAATTAACATGCTTCCATCGTGCTACCATCGCTGAACAAGAGCTGAGAAGTGAAAGTATTTTAAAAGGCCAGTTTTACGCTGTCATTTTATACTGCTGTGTGTGACATACATTTCACTTGTAAAGTAAAGACAATTGAAATGTTTTGGGAATGTCCATGATTCGTTTTCATTATTTCAGTGGCTTTTAAAATCCGGAAGGAGTGTAGCAAAAAGAACTCTTACGTGTTCTCTATCAACAACATGGCTGGATGATAGATAGAATACCGTTATTGTCAATAACAGGACAAATATAACGAAGAGGTTTAGAATTATACTTTTAGGCTTGTTGGTTGTAACAAGTTGCATCACGTCTGTTTTTTTTTTTTCGCTAGAATGTTCACTTTTGCGAAAGCTAAACTAGCAGCAGTGCTCGGGATAGGACGGCAGTGTGTTGCACTGAGGGCACTCAATGGAGCGCAAGCGGTGCGTAGAGGATTCGCGTCCTCCGAACGAGATGAGGAACCCAGCACTTCTGAAAACGAGCTCTTTGATATTATAATATCCGGCGGGGGAATGGTGGGCACCGCTATGGCGTGTTCTTTGGGTGAGTGAGTGTCCCTGACATGCAGTGACCCAGCCTGCTTTTGCCCCTCATCTCCACTCTCCTACGCTGCACTTCCCAGTAGTAATAAAGTCCTTCCCTTGACTTTTCTTCACCCTTGTTTTTTCACGTAAAGAGAGGTTATTATTTTGCTTGATGAAAGTGTTTCTGCTGGAGGTGAAACGTGCAATTGCGATTGTACAACAATGTAATGTTCTCATGCCCGTATGGTGCTTAAGTAAGCAGCGTGCAATCAACGCACAGATTTTATGCAGACTTTAGTAAGATCTCATTCAAATGCATTGGTAAAATATGCAAAATGCCAGAAGATACATCATTGCAGTGATTTAAAAAGGACAATGGAAAGAAAATAAGTCGTCCTGCATTTAATCTATGCTTCTTTCAGGTCTAGAGCCAAATTTGGCAGGGAAAAAGATTCTTCTGCTGGAAGCTGGTCACAAAAAAGAGATGAACAGGGTTCCAGAGACCTACAGTACAAGGGTCAGCTCCATCAGCCCAGGCTCAGCAATGCTTCTTAGTGGTACGGACTTGTGTAGCTTTTTAAATTTTCTTTCTGTGTGGTTCATATGACACTCTTATGGTTCTATAAAGGAATACCCTACAAGCCATTTTTATCTACCTTGGGTAGTTCCAAAAAATAATCATTCTTAATGTATTCATCCATGTCTTCCAAAAATGGACAGAGCACCATTAAATACAAAATAGAATATAGTCTCTAAAAAAACCATAAAGTTGGTGTTGAAGTTGATAACCAAAACTGTAAAAAAAAAAATGTAATTGAAATAAAACTGAAATAGGTAATAAAATAGGTAACACTTTACAATAAGGTTCCATTTGTTAACTATATTTAATGCATTACCTAACATTAACTTACAACAAGCAATGCATTTGTTACAGTGTTTATTCATCTTTGTAAACATTAATAAAAATACAACTGTTCATTGTTAGTTCATGTTAGCTCAGGCCCATTAACATTAATAGATACAACTTTTCATTTTAATAATGTATTAGTAAATGTTGGATTCAACATTAACTAAGATTAATAAATGCTTTTTCATTGTTCATGTTAACAAATGGAACCTTCTTGTAAAGTGTTACCATAAAATATAAATAACTCATGGAACTTTAGAATTGTTGCCTTGGCAATGAACTAAAATTAATATGTTTGAGATAAAGTTTTAAAATAACTAAAGCTGAATAGAAATTTAAAATTAATAAATCAATAAAATGGCAAAAGCACAAAAGTTCTTAAACTAAAAACCGAAGATATAAAAACATAATCCAATTAAAATATTAATCATTACTATAATAATATCTACATAATAGTATGTAATAATAATTCATTGGGGGGACAGAATATATTGTTTTTATTGAAAATGTTCTCTTTTGTCCTTAATGACTTTAATTTTTTCATACACTATAAAACATTGGTTAAAAGGACAGTTCCCTTTAGCCTTTGATAGCAGATCAAATTTCTTACCAGTATCTTTTAATTGTCACAAATTCCAAAATGAAGAACTACAGAAAGGGTTTGGCCAAAAAACTAAAAAACAAACAAACACAAAAAAACAATAGATTTTAGATGGACAGTAGTAGATGTAATGCCACAGACAAAGAGCCACCCTCTGTTGCCTGGCTACACAGTGTGTTATGCTGAACGAAACATGATTTTAATTGTGTCCACAGAATGCATGTTTGCATTATGGGCAATGTTGGGCATCATTTAGAACCAGTACTTTGGGTAATGTGGAGGCACAATCCAATCACAAGGTCTGTGGTGAGGATAAGTACATCTGTTCCATTCAAAGCTCTGAAATTGCACTCCTGTCATTAAAACTATTTACAGTATAATGTTTGTATATGTAAGATTCACCAGGAAGTGGGTCAGTAGGTAGCTTTCTCTCTTGCGCTGTGTACTTTTTCCCGTAGCACTGGTTGGATATGATAAAGGATACACTTTTTAATTGTGTCCTAATGTGTTACAGGTCTTGGTGCTTGGGACCATATTGTAAATATGAGATGCAAGCCATATAATAAAATGCAGGTCAGTAAAACCAGTGTGTTGTAATACAATGATTACTTGGGCGGTGCCGTTATGCAATGATAGTATCACATTCTACTGAATGATAATCATATTCACACACCACAGTGTTACCTGGCACTTCATAGAATGTCCATCAAAACACCCTACTAAGTATAGTACTTTTTTACAATTAAAAATGTAAATGGAGTAATCAGATATCACACCAAAAGAAACTCGCATCATTTAAACGCAACGAACCACTAAATCAAAACCCATTATGTGTAACCAACACAGTTATTTACTATGACCTTACCTGCTTATTTTCCTGAGAGCAGAAAGCCACTCCATTTAAAACAGCTGTATCGTGTTTTGCTCGTCGTTGTTTGCCTCATCACACTGTAAGCAGCCACCCATAAATTAATGTTACAGAACCACAGCCTCCGAATACAAAACATACATTAGAGATGCAGAACCTCAAACTCCGCATCGCAACCTGACAGTTAAGCTTGGTTTTGCTTGCGGCCACAGTTTATATATTAGAGTCTTATTTAGCGGGATGACATAAATCTAACCGTGTCTACTAATTACGAAGATTCATGTGAGATGCAGGGAGAGGAGTTAAAAGCTGTGGAGAGTGTGGAGATCACAAGTAAAAGGCCCCTTCGTTTACTATGCTGTGGTGGGGTTTCTCCTGTAAGATGTGGATTTTTCACTGCCAGAATGAAATCCTGTGGTTTCTGGGCAAACTAAGGGGTGTCATCAGTGTGCACTTTATAGTGATATACCTCACCCATTATACCTTTCCTGTATCCTTTAAGAATTTTTTGTTTGTTTGTGAGTGCATTTATGTCCAAACAAGGGTGAAATTGCAAAGGAACTGAGCTAGGTTCCCTCTTGCCCTCCAATTAAATTCAAGCGGTGGGAGGAAAGCGACTAAAACGGGCTTGGGAAGTGCCATGCTCCAGAAAAAAGTGTGGAGGTTCCCTAAAGTGTTATCAGTTAGATTTTTTTTCCTCCACCGTGGTCTGAATCTTTTCTGGTATCTTTGTTACAGAAATGATCACGTTAAAAGGGTCATTTTGGCAAGGGACGTTTTAATTTGGCAGTGACTGGACGTACATAGCAACTCCAAAACTTATCAACAGCTGTGTTTTTCCTATGTGTAAAATCCTTATAATTGTGGGTTGGTCACGTTTTAAATCTTCCACGTAACCATGTATCAAAAATTGCAAAACCACTACTATTAGTGGTTTTAGCATGGCTGTATAACAAGAAGGATAGAACGGTCTTTCTGAATCCACGTTACTCATGGATTTAATTGTTTGCCAGTCACCTTAGTTACAAGTCATTTTAGTTTTTAAAATATAGCTGCATCCATCACCAAGACCTTTTGCATTTAAAACCATCTGCATGTTTTATTAACTAAGTTGCAAGGCAACTCGGATGAAACAAACTTAGCTCGACAGTAATGTTCGCATATTTGTTATTTATTATTGGCTTAACTATATATACAAGCATAAATCGCCACGAAGAATGGCATTTTACATTTCTGCCTCACCCCAGTATGTTTACAAAGTCAGCCGTGCAACCTCAAAGGCTGTTGGTGGCTGATGTTTGGTTAGAGTATCTGGCAAAACTCTTCGCTCAGTCAAACGGCTTTGATGTGTTCAAGTTCAATGAAGCACGTGCTCTTTTGGAAATCCATAAATAGCGCCCGAGCGGTCACATAAGGATAGAGTTGTAAACCACAGCAATAATTTGGTTCTTTGCTTTAGGTTTGGGATGCTTGTTCAGATGCCCTGATTACATTTGATAAGGAGAATCTGCAGGACGAGATGGCGTACATCGTTGAGAACGACGTCATTGTGGCCGCCCTCACCAAACAGCTGCAGACTCTCTCTGGTAACGGATCCACATTTTGATGTTTGATATATATGGATCGATTTATGTGTTTGTTTTTGTAATCATTGCTTTGCACACTGAACTTTGATCATTACATGATGAAATGTCCCTGATCGTTGCTTTTGCTGTGCTTTTTCCATGTTGCTAAATGTTTTCCCCAGCACTCTCGAGCGCTGAGTGGTCTCCCTGTTAATTAGTTTTAGGGATGGCTTGGCAAATGATGTCACCACAAGCCATTCCTTCCTGTCTTGGCAAAATGTTTATTTGTACTCGTACTCCTTTTGAACATCTTTCTTCTTCTGTTTTTTTTTTTTCCCTAAAGATTCCACTTCTTTGGACACATCCGTGTTTTTCCTGCTATTTCGATCATCCAGCATATTACTTTTGGTGGGAGTCAAAGCCCCATGAGAATTGCCTCCCTGTTCGGACACGTGCAGTGGTCTATTGACCCATTTAAAAAAACCACATTCCTTTCCAGCCGTAGCATCTCACTCACTCGGGGGGCCTGAGAATGGACAGTATTTTACTGTAACATTTTGTTGTTGTAATTAACTAAACCGTTCCAAGGCTCTGCATTTGGCTTTTCCATGCCATGCTCTGTAAAACGGCATATTTTTAAAAACAGGCCTTTTTTAAAACGCATCTTGCGTTTAACAGATGTGCGGTAGCACGTGCATGTTCACGTGTTTCTGTCAAGTTGGTGCTTTTTAACAGTCTTGCTATTTCTGCTGAAGTACTAGACAAAGCATACATGCATCAGCCAGCTGTTTTTTTCCGTTACTCTGCTCTCAAATCAGCAAGAAGCCAATATTTATCACCCGTGCACAAGAACTAGTGTTCAATTTTGTGGACAGAATGGTCTCAAAGTCCGAAACGTAGGCGTAATTCCGGATCTTTTCATGCGCTAGACCGCCAGTGATTCTAAGGAAAGTGGATTTTCTGCTTCCTTTACTTTCGTTCTCTGTTGTGTGCAGGATATTGGCAGCTGGTCTTAAGTATTGCATGGTTTGCTTGTAGATAAACACCATTAGTCAGCCGTGGGTGACTTGCCGAAGCCATTAAGAGAATTGTCAATGCTAGCAGGCCTCAACCAGAGAAAGGAAAACAACTTTGTGTTTTATGATCTGGTTTGATGATCCTTAATTTTTGACTTTGTCACAGCCAAACCCTGTTTGTTTGGATTCTTTCGCATTTCTCAAGTGGAACCGAACGAGATTTGGACTAATGCTCCTTTTGTTTTATTTTAATGTGTAATGATGTTTTGGTGTGATTATCATTCATGTCTAAACCAGACCATGTTGAAGTGCAGTACCGAACAAAAGTGGTGAAGTATACCTGGCCCCATCCTTACCATGTCTCGGAGTCCATCCCTTGGGTTCAGGTGACTCTAGCTAATGGAAAGACTCTCCACACCAAGCTGTTGGTTTGTAGAATTTATCCAGTTTGTCATTTGGTATTACAAACAGAACAGTGCATAACTGCATAAGCAAAAGCTTAACTTCTTAATGTAGGTTTGATTGGCTCTTTCAGATTGGTGCTGATGGGCCGAACTCAATGGTGCGGAGAGAGGCTGGCATCCCAACAGTCAAATGGAATTACGATCAATCAGCAGTTGTCGCTGTTCTGCATTTGTCTGAGGTATGATGAGCCTCCAGTTACAAGTTCAAATCATATTGCTTCTCATGTGTTTTTCACAACTTCTTGAATATTGTAATTTGCTCAGAAATGTCACATTGCAGAAGAAATATGGTTGCATTGAATGCATTAACCTTGCAATATTGTTTTTCAGCCCACAGAAAATAACGTAGCCTGGCAGAGGTTCCTACCAACCGGACCCATTGCAATGCTTCCTGTGAGCTGACCATAAGAGTTTATTTTACTTGTAAATGATGTCAGTTGTACTTGATTTGCTTCATTGGCTCGTCGTGATATCGCTTAGTGGTCAGATGGAAAATACATGTGTTTGTAATGGCACTCAAGCCCAGACGTGGTGTATGTGTCTGCTGTACAGTTGTCAGACACGGAGAGCTCGCTGGTCTGGTCCACCAGTCATCAGCATGCTGAAGAACTTCTACAGCTGGATGAAGAGAGCTTTGTGGATGCCATTAACTCTGCATTTGTGAGTAAACACTGACACTGTCGCCACACGTATGGTCCACCTCCCTAATCTGAACACCTTACGAGCGCTGTGCTATTACAATATTGCAATAGTTCATTTTGGTCTGTAGAATAACATAATAAAGAAGTGATTTTTGATTGAAATGTCCTATCTGTGCTCTGCATTCTCTTCATTTCGGCTGAATGCCCTCAAACTGACCCTCGCACCCTTTTTTTCTTCTTGTTTGTGTTTCCGTCAAAGAAACTCCTCTTTTCCCAAGCTGGCTATTTTTACTGGCCTTACTGGTCACAGGCCTTTGCATCTGAGTCACGCTTGCCATCAAAACTGGTTTGCTAATTAAGCCCAAGGTTTGCCAGTGTTGGTCATTACTCCACGGAATGTTTTTTCTACAGACCAAACTCAAATTTGTGGCCTGCTCAGCATTTTACTTTAATTAGGCATGCTTTTTGCATCTCTGCTGAATTACCTGTCTTTTAAGACTTTAGTGCTTTTAGTGCACAAAAGGAAGAAGGTATAGCTTACCTCTAGATCTCAAGATAAAGATAGCATTCAATTAATAAAAATCATGTCATTATTTACTCGCCTTCATGTCGTTCTAAACCCATATGACTTTATTTCTTCAAAATTGTGGTGTTCCACTGAAGGATGTTTACGGAGCTCTTTCCCATACAATAAAAAGCAGCAGTGACCAGGGACTGTCATGATCCAAAAAGGACCAAAAAAGCACTATAAAATTGTCATTGGAAAAAGTCCATGCTGTGCTCTTTTCCAAGTCCTCTAAAGCAGTGGTTCTCAGCCTTTTTGACTTGAAGGTCCCCCAATATAAGGTATTACCTGTGGTATTTTTGTTTTCCTGTTTGTGTTCCAATTTTTTTATTAACAGAAACTGTTGATATGAATCAACCACAATTAATTTGTGATTCCTGAATTAATTTCAAGAAACTATGCTATTGCAGGAGAAAAAAAGAAATGTATATATAGAGAGAGAGATAGTTCAGCTGGATAGAAAATAATAAATATTAAAAAAAAGAGAATCATTTGGTTTCCCGTTTTTTTTTCCTCTGTAGGATTCAGAATGATTTTTCAAACTTGCTTGCATCAGAGCGCATGAGTCGTATGGACTTTTATGGCGCTTTCTTTTAGTCATTCTTAAAGATGTTCCAACTTTCAAAAAAAGTGCTTCACAATTCATCCTTTTACATTTTAGATGAAAGAAAGAATGTCATATGGTTTTGGAATGACATTAGCAGTAGTCATTATTGTCTTTTAACTAGCTCTCCACTCATCTTACATCCAATTTAAGCTTAACAACTCTATTATGAATAGAGGTTCTTGCACACATCATTCTTCTGGTGCCATTGCCACTGTTGTTCACTTCTCTGTTTTACTCTCTTCAGTGGAGTAATGAGAACCATTCTGAGCTGGTGGAGACTGCCGGCTCTCTGTTTCGGACGGCCCTTTCTGTCCTGATGCCTGACAGTGGCTCTGCACGTCAGCTTCCACCTAGCGTTGCAGGTATTGGCCCAAAGAGCCGGGTCATGTTCCCGCTAGGCATGGGCCATGCCACAGAATACATCCGCCACAGAGTGGCCATCATTGGGTATGTTTGCAAAGTTGAATGAAGCGATTTTTGGTTTGAGTATTTGTTCGGAATTTAATTTTTTTTCCATAAGTATAGAGCCATATGTATATATAAACGAGAAATCTCTCAATATGTTAAGTTTATAGTGCAGCTGTACTGTTTATGTGGTTGTCTGAGACCTATGTGATGATGTATTTCTAAGGTAATATAGAATCCACAAGGAGGAAATTTCGGTAGGTTTGGCCGGTCAAATTAAATATGGCTCCTGACTGAAGGTTTCCTCACTATATTTTCTGATCTTTCTAATTTCAGAGATGCTGCACACAGAGTCCATCCTTTAGCAGGCCAAGGTGCCAATCTAGGCTTTGGCGATGTGGCCTATCTCACAAAAGTTCTTAGCCAAGCAGCATTTAATGGAAAAGACCTTGGTAAGTGTTCCAATATCAGCAGCAGTCAAGCTGAATGTATGTGTTCACTGGATTTGTACTTGTATGACAGTTTCCAGAGATGTAGATCAAAGATTTTCATTTAATAAGCATTAGATGAAGTCTTGTAATTTGCGTATCTAATAAGAAACTCATACATTATATAAGCTATATTGTGAAGAACTGCCTCGCATTGAAGAAACGTGACAAGAAACATAAAGGACTTGAAGGCTTTATGTACATTGAGATCTTAGAGTATTTCATACCTGAAGTAGCATACTTTTGGTTCAGAAGAGCCCAGTGGAGCTCTCTGTGGTTTCTCATAAGCTCTTTTCCATTTCCTTATATTGAGGGTGATCTTTAGTAAAAAAAACTGGTTGTCCTGGAGCGGTATACAGTGTTTTTACTTGTCACTCCTGCCAAGAACTGCTCATAAATTTCTTTGCAGCCACAAATGGAAATCTTATGAGGAACTGTTGACATCAGTTTCTTAGAAATTCATATATGTATAATTAAGAGCAGTAACTGATGTTTTCCATATCCATTCATATTGCAGATATTTGATTTTGGAGGAAAATTACCTGAATTTTATGGTATGAAATTTTAGAAAATGTGGTCAAATGTGCTAAATTAAGTGGAAAGAACTACCTTCGTATTGCTAATTAATGGTTTTTTTTTTTTAAATAATTCAAATGCAAGGCACAAGATGTGTAGAAGTTGATGCCATATGATTGTTGTAAATCTGGAGAGATTTCTGCAGGTGCAAAATCTGTGCAGACAGCAAGTACCAAATGGATAACAGAAAGGACAACTTTTGAAGAAAAAAGAGAGTACTTCATAAGCTTTACTGTTTAACCATTGTACCTTTGAACTCTAGGAGCCATGCAGCACTTGTTGGAGTTCGAGACTGAACGTCAACGACACAATCTTCCTATGATGGCAGCCGTTGACCTCATGAAGAGACTGTACTCCACTAATGCCGCCCCTATGGTTCTATTGAGAACCTTCGGCCTGCAGGCTACCAACACACTGCCTCCACTTAAAGTATGATCACATCTCTTATTCTTCCCACAATTCCTTCAAAATGTCAGATTTATTTTTATTTCCTGCTCTGAAAGTATTGGACAATCTGTTCCCTTCCTCCATCGTATTCCATTATTTTGGACCTTGTTCTTTTCCTTAGCTCTGTGGCAGTCCACTCGTGTTCTCGTTCATTTCTGTCATCTGTGCCTCTTTCTCTGCTTTGTTCTGCTTCCAGCTTCAGCCTTCTTTCACCTCTCCAACTTTTGCTCCCTCTTTCACTCTTCCTCTGACTTCTTCCCCTCTCTAACCCCATCCCCCCATCTTGTCCTCTGATTACATGCCTTTCTACTCTTATCCGTGCCTGTAATTTACATGGTCAGGAGCTACTACTATGGCTATGTTTAGCCCAAAATTTACTGTTACCGAAAGTGTGTGGGTGGAGTTGCAGGGCTGTGCATGGTGGTGTTGGCTTGTGTTTTCACACTCCTTTTATTACAGGCCACTCTTATGAAATGGCTTCATTCCTTTACTAAGAGGTTCCAACCAGAGGGCCAGTAACTTGTCTTAAGCCTTGAGGGATATCTCCCACATTTGCTGTTTCTATTATAGATGTTACAGCCAGTTTATGTGCCTCAAATGTAATGTTAGAAGGACTAGTGTCACCCGTCATGATTAAAAGTGGGAAGATGTGCATTTCTCAAATTAAAACTATAAAATATCAATTGTGAATTATGACTATTGCTTACCTGTAAGTCACTTACCTCAAGTTATATATTTTTTTCTTGTACCCACAGGAGCAGATCATGGCCTACGCCAGCAAGTAAAACACTAGCTGCAAACTGGATGTTTGCTGGATCTCTAATGTTAGAAGATTTTGTTCATGGAATGTATGTGTAAATTAATAAATTATATTTTATTCCTCGGTCTTTGTAGGAAAACATTTTTATGACATCTTTTCCAATCACCCATATGAAGATGTAACTACTACTCTGCCACCTTTACTAATAGAAAGTAAATGTGCATGTGTACCAAACATGTTTCTTACATGTTTCTGGAAGAACATCAAATTTCATAAATCTATATATATTGATTTATATTTCATAAATCATACATCTATATGGTCGTAACTTCTCTCAGTTGTTACGATTTCACAAACATTATTTTATGACCTAATGTATTCAGTTTTGTACAGGAACGGACTGGTTGTAGACAGTTTTCCCTGTATAAGTTGTGGAGCAGCTGTCAAAACTAAATTAGGCTTCCCAAGTCAAAGGTGTAATAATACATAGCTTTAAGCACGTAATTTGCATTATGCTGGAGATTTGTGAATTATGACTATTGCTTACCTGTAAGTCACTTACCTCAAGTTATATATTTTTTTCTTGTACCCACAGGAGCAGATCATGGCCTACGCCAGCAAGTAAAACACTAGCTGCAAACTGGATGTTTGCTGGATCTCTAATGTTAGAAGATTTTGTTCATGGAATGTATGTGTAAATTAATAAATTATATTTTATTCCTCGGTCTTTGTAGGAAAACATTTTTATGACATCTTTTCCAATCACCCATATGAAGATGTAACTACTACTCTGCCACCTTTACTAATAGAAAGTAAATGTGCATGTGTACCAAACATGTTTCTTACATGTTTCTGGAAGAACATCAAATTTCATAAATCTATATATATTGATTTATATTTCATAAATCATACATCTATATGGTCGTAACTTCTCTCAGTTGTTACGATTTCACAAACATTATTTTATGACCTAATGTATTCAGTTTTGTACAGGAACGGACTGGTTGTAGAAAGTTTTCCCTGTATAAGTTGTGGAGCAGCTGTCAAAACTAAATTAGGCTTCCCAAGTCAAAGGTATAATAATACATAGCTTTAAGCACGTAATTTGCATTATGTTGGAGATTCACTACTGCCAGAATTTGTAAGGCAAAGGTGTACATCAGAACTACATTGGGAATGAAGTGTAAGTGATGCAAAATACATCTTGGCATAAACTTATATTTTGAATAGGATTCCAGTGTCCTAAATCATAATTTACTAATGAAGACAAATAAAAAGTCTACTATACATTTCAGATCGCTCTAGCAACCCTTTAACCAAATTAACTTATATCTCGTGAAAATTCACACAGACGCGCGATTATTGGCATGCCGTTGCAGTTTTCATAATTTGGCGCGAATTTAATTCGCCCACTGTAGATAATGGAGGTAAACGACTTGACAGTAAAATGGTTGCTTCCTATTACTTCCCAGTTTGATCAACAAGGAAATCCATTCATCTCATTCTGAGGTAAGTAAGCAAGCAATAATCGTCTATAATGTTTGCTATGTACTTCGTGTCTACATAGCTTCTGATTTTTTAGTTATACTACCGTTAATGCTGTTATGTCGTCAACCTTATTCTAAGCTGTTTGAGAGAAAAATATCTGTAACCTTCAAAAATACCTCAAGCTAGATCTACTTGATGGATCAAGAGAGGTTTGTAGGCTAGATGTATTTTATCTTTAAAATCCCATTTAGTTAAGCTATTAAACAGCAGATTTTTCTTATATTTTTTATTCATGTACAACAGGCTATCACTTCATACACAACATTGAATTGGAAAGCATATTTATAGCATTTGCTGTCGAGAATACCTCTAAAAATGGCAAAGCAGTACATGATTTCATGTCATACATTGAACTATGACAACTGGTTAAAACAAACAAAAAAGTACATTATTGAAGTGTATATACAGACATAGTAAAATACATAAAAAGGTATACTTAAGCAGCTTTAAAGAAGTAGATGGATTAACGAGATGCAACAACTGCACACTGCATATTTAGCAAGTATTCATGAAATAAATATTTGTACAATAATTCACAAAACACACAACATGATACTGCCAAAAACTGGTCCTAAATCGGTCAGCAGTATGCACCTGTCACAAAATCTAACCTTGTTCTGCCCAATTACACCTGAGCATCTCTGCATACACAAAGCAGTAACATTTCAACGCTGTTCTACATAATGACCGCCTAAAATGACTTAGAGCCATTCACAATAACTAACCCAAGTTTAAAGACATAAATGAGGTTCAAGATACTCTAAACTCTGTTTGCATGTTGGCATAAAAATAACTCCATTTTGAATACAGTAACATAATGTCTACTTTAATAACCAGTAGTCATTTGAGTTATAGTTTATCCAAGTATTGAGCCATGTTAGCATTTATATACCTTTTTTAGTTTGATAATGGCTGCAGTGCAAGTGTATTCAACTGCATGCAATTCAGTGTTAAAAACCATATCTGGTTAGAACTTGGGTAAAAAAAAAAAAAAAGCACCTATAGAATTTCACCAAGAGTGATATGCTTCTAAAAATGTTCCAACTCAGCTCTTCAACTCTGCTTCTTAACATACAAACAGATAAGCATAAATACATGCATTACTCATTAATACGTAAAACAGCACTCATGTGCTCGAGTAAAGTGACTGAACATGTATGATTTGTCCTTATCTCTACCTGCCCAATGAACCCCAAGATAAGCTGCTGATCCCAAACAACTTTCCAAAACATATACAGATGGCTGTAGCTGAACCATCTACTCTATAAAGTGTTAAATGCTAGATAGGGGCACTAAACAGAAATTTCAGTATAATTTACCATAACCTAAAACAGCACCACACTACTGTGCAAGCACTACTACTAACAAGTTACTTCAGAGGAAGCTACATCAATAGCTCAACACAATGAATTTTTACAATGTTTTTACATGTATCCCACTGCACAATATCCTGCACAACAGCATGAATCAGGAGCTTTAAATGGGTGCATTAAACACTGGACCTTTGAAAACTACCAAGTTAGACAGACAGACAGACAGTGTCTCAGGTGAGACGGCAACTGAAAAAAATTTAAACATACAGTAGAAATAGCAGGCTGGCCTGGCCATCTTTACAAAAATATAATGATTTCTTTGTGAACAGTTCTGTAAGTGTTTAATTGATGAGAGGGGAGAGTGTTGTGATATAGGGCTGCAGTGCAGGGCAGGTCTGAAACTCAATTAAAGAGTTATGGAGGAGGACAAAGAGGGGCTGCTTCAGCAGGTGTTTTGCACCTGCTTGACCCCTATGCTCCCCCTCATGCTGGTGTCCACTGCAAGACTGCAGGCTTTAATGAATGTTGAGCTTGTGGAAATGATCGAAGGTGGCGCCAAGTGCCCAGCTTGTCTCCACATTATTCACCTTTTTAGTAAGCTGTTAAAAGAAGAAGATCATTAATCCATTATGCTGCTGCCTAATCTGTGGTACTTCATCTGACAAGGAATGTTAACTTTGGCTCTTGGCAATTTACTTTTGTATGCTCAAACACTGAGCTAGTAAATAGGTTTGAGACCAATTTTAGATCCTCCCCATACAGTTTCAGAGTGTCACATTTTTAAATTGTTTGAATATTTTCCACTCACCTGCAGAACAGTGCTGTCCTTGAACCCAAATCCCTCTTTCAATAGGCATGTGATATAGGTCATGTCCATGCACAAAAAGGGGCTGATCGGACGATATTTAGTCATCTTGTTGCACACTTGTTTAAGAAAAAGCAAAGAACAGTAATTAGCTGTGCTTGCTAAGGGAATAGTACTTACTTGCTAAGTACTATTGCTCATACTTAAAGTTAGAGATTTGAACAAACCCTTGAGCCTTAGTATTAAACCTTGACGCATTTCTCATCCCACATAGTCTGTGCTACAGACATGAGTTATGCTTCAAATTGGGTGGCTTGTTGAGGAAAGTGGTGGCAAGTATCTAGCAACCACCCAGAACACCCTAGCACTAAGAACTACTTTGAAAAGTTTTGCAACCACATAGCAATGCTCATGGCGAAGAGTTTTGCACGGACAAGCACCAATCACATTTTCTTCAGAAAATGTAAATATTTTGTAACTCTGTGAGTACAGAATTGGGCAATAAAAATCCAAGACAAGATTAAAAGACTAAAAGATTCCTATGTTGCACAAGAGATGATAAGCATAGTGTATACACTATCCAGTGAGTCCCAGACTGTTGATTGTCAGGCTACAGTGTGTCAGAGTCTGGGGAAAATCAGGTAAGACACTGAGGCACCAGTACTGTGTTTGCTACAACCGTCTGGCATGTCTTTGTGAAACAGGTCTACCCAATGTTTTGTTTTTTCTCCAGCTAACACTGTGATTTGTAAGAGTTTGAGATGAGGAAGAAAGTGGGAATGAATAATTTCATACCCTAGGTCGTACACAAGTGCTGATAGAGCTCCAAATGACGAGGGATACCAAGTGTTCCCGCAAAGGGTGAGACATTACGTCCTGCCTGCCTCCAGTTAGATATTGGGCATTAGGTGTTGTCTCACGGTCAGGCAGGAGGTGGGTATCTACAGGGCTGCTGCCACTGGAATAACCGATGTGCCAAATGCGGTTCATCGAAACCATGCGACAGTGTCAGAGTACAAATAATAGCCTTACATAAGGCGCCAACTCATTCCCCCTAGCGATAAATCATCTCTGCAGACATTTACTAGTGGACACAATCTACCAAGATTCCATGAATCAATTTCAGGTCTCAAACTGACATGTGCGTCACATTCTGCTCAAGAACTAACAACATATTCCTCTAGTAAGGGTATGGAAAAGCTGAGATAGCAGGTCGGAGAGTTACAAAAAAGGTGAACACACACAAGCAGAAGTTTTTGTGTGGGAGAGGTGCAACCTATGTTTATGTGGTGGCAGAGCTATCATTTTGTGAAGCCAGTGTGATTGTCAAGAACCTCAAATGCAAACAAGCACCGAGGGTTTATGTTTGTGCAATGTGTGCGGCAGGACTTTGACCTGAGTGTTCTTTGGAGAATGGGAGAACATCCAAAGTCTTACCTTCTTTGGCTCTCTTTT